AATAATATTAAAAATATCTGTATGGCATTATATTCTGCAGTTCTTCCCTGTTGTACCGAATAGCTAGGCTTTCAAATGATCACATCGAAGTTAGATATTCAAATATTGTGACAAAATTTATTTTGTAGGGTGCCACAAGTTTGTTAAAATTTCCAAAGGGTGCCGCGACTAAAAAAAGGTTGGGAAACACTGTTTTAGAGCAATGGGTTCCCTATGGAATTTCTAAGGAGTTTTTGATTTATGAATAAAATGAGGTCTGTGGTTAACATTACATGAAGAGACCTTCCTGTTTTGTTCTACAAAATAAATTACACACAGTCAAATGTGAATTTTGAAACCCATTAGTAATTCCCAAAAGAATCCATGGTGAATTAGTCTTTCGGGCTGGCCTACAAATTGACATGATGACTGAACAGCATTAGAAAACTTTGTAATTCCATTTTTAATCAGTAAAAGTTCCAGTTGTAATGCTGTCATTTTAAGGTTTCTTTTTTTTTCTTCTTCTTCTTTTTTTTTGAGTTTTTGATTCCTTAGTATCCTCCCATTTCCCTTAGCCTATTGTTAGAGCAGAAGAGCAGCCCTGTATAAACTGTCAGTGATTACTGGCAATAGTTTATAAACAGAAGACAAAATGGTCAGCTTATATAAAAGGAAATCACAAGGGGCAGGCAAGAGGGAAGATAATGAAGTATACAGTGGGTACGGAAAGTATTCAGACCCCCTTAAATTTTTCACTCTTTGTTATATTGCAGCCATTTGCTAAAATCATTTAAGTTAATTTTTTTTCCTCATTAATGTACACACAGCACCCCATATTGACAGAAAAACTATCATAAAATCAGATGTTAAAGAAGAGGAATTCAAGAGAAAAACATGTAAAGAATAAGTAATTTTGTGCTCAACTGTCCTAATAATGTAAGCTGCATCTTGCTGTGATTATGTCTAGTGAGCTCAACAGTGATAAATCAAAGCTATGCATATGTACGTGTACCAGTGACTAATTCACAAGTTATATTTTATGAATTTAAAGATTTAAAAAAAAAAATGTTTTTATTAAAAAAATCTCAGATAAACTGATTTGCTCACACAGGCTTTGTGTGTAATAAATTACATCTTAAATTATGTAGTAGGTGAACATGGTAGATCATGACGCTAACAATACTGGCCAATTAGAGTTCAAGGGAACATACTGTACATTATACTGATTAAAAATTTGTAGCCTGAATTCACTGCAAGTTGTTTCGGATAAAGGTGTCTACCAAGTGCATAAATGTAAATTTGTAATATAAAGCTAACTAAATGCCTTTTAATGTGTGGTTACAGAATAGTATAACTGAGGTATTCCACAGACTTTTTATAGGTCAAATTAAAGAATAACTTTAGAACTTTAAATTTGCTAATAAACTTTTCTCTACCAAAATTAGCCAGGTTCACTAGGTACATTATGCAAAACAAATGAGTCATTAGTCACAAAGAATCTGCACACCAAAAAAATAAACAAATCATGAAGACAAGAGCCTTAAAGCGCTGAGGAAAGTTCAATGAACTCAAACATTTGCTTTTTTTGTGCATCTACATATTTTCCTTTTTGCATGCGCACTTGTTGCTTTTGTCAAAAACATTTGAGTAAAAAATTGTAATAATGGTAATGGACCTCAATTAAAAAGCCTCTTCTCTGATATTATTTATTTGTTTTACTGCAATTTTTAGATTTGATTTGCAGATGTCTTGTTACTGATGCAGCATATTAATAGAAATTTAGTGAGGTGTCTAAAGGAACAATGAAGAGAACAAAACAATGAAACCAGCTTTGGTATATTTGTGGGCAAAATAGTGAAATGATCAAAACATCATTAAAATAATAATTTGCCTTTCTCATTAGATTTTAAAATGATAACAGAAACACTACTGCTAATTTCATTAAAAGATGAACTTGAAGCTTCTGCAGTAGTTCTGCTTGCCACTAGTGTTGCTTTCGTCAACGAAAATTATGACTAAATATCGTCGTCAACGAACCTTTATCACGTGACGAAAACGAGACGCAACGAAAATGCTGGTCATGTGACGATGACTATAATTAAATGTATAATGCAATATTGTTGACGAATAAAAACTAGACTAAATGTGGTTTACAAAAAAGTAATAAAAATCAGTTACTTACTGCCACCTGCTAGACTAAATGTCATCAGTTTTCGTCGACTAAAACTAGACTAAAATGTCATCAGTTTTCGTCGACTAAAACTAGACGAAAATAGTCATGGATAATTCTGACTAAAATAAGACTAAAATGCTCAGACTTTTAGTTGACTGAAACTTGACTAGACTAAAAAGAGTATGAACGTGACTAAAACTAATAAAAACTAAAATGACAGCTTCACACAAAGACTAGAGTCACTAGACTAAAACTAAAATTAAAACAGGCCGCCAAAAACAACACTACTTGCCACACTAGACTTCATTTGAGGCATTAACAGTTGGTTCAGGATTCTGTGATAGTCAAAAGTCTGAGCAGACAGGGTTTAGGTTTTGTTTGACTTTCTGTTACTTCTATGTCTCTGAAGGGTTTACTTAATAAGTTCCTGACTGACAGGGGTCAGGGGTGAGACACCTCAGGAACAGGTGCACATGAAAGGCCTTATCTTTCTTTGGCTAATGCACACAATCAATGTGTACACAGTGTGATACATTCACACACAATATGATTCTTTTTCACTTGCATCCAGACAGTGAGTGGCACAGTCACTGCTTGTACAGGTCAGGAGAAGAGTGAAAATCTTACTGATTATGATTCCTTTAGCACTGCCTAATGTACAAGTCAAAGACATACCTTCCTGTTTGTTTGTAGATCTAGAATCTTTGATAAGAGGGAAGCCATCCAAGACTCCCGCTATCTCATTGCACTGTTTGGAGCCAGACCTTTAACAGGTCTTCTGGGGCATCAGCGCCGTGTTCCTCCCCCTCTAAGCAGACTTCCTGTCATTCCAAACATTCCAAGCTATGGAACTGGAATCAGAGATTAGTGGGTTCAGGGTGTGTAACTTTTAAACACTTGCTGATGTTGTGTGTCTGTGCACTTGAACATATTTGAGCATATGAAGAACACCTGCATTTTTGATTAATTTATATTTGAAAACTGAATTAAATGGCATGTGTAGAAAGATTGATTCCTTTCTTTCTTGTATAGAGCAAGCAAGTGTAAATGTCACATGTTAGCATCATCACATAACAGTTTCAGACATTTTGTAGATCTGTGAATGTCATATATTCACAAGGCACAGTGAACGTAAATCCTTATTCAGTTTTTTAAATGTCAAGCCAAACTCTCAGGGGAGAAAAGAAGGTCACATTAATAAGACAGAACTCTTGCCAACAGAATGGCCGGATATTCCTCCCTAACATTTCCCTTGTCCAAGGGGCCCGGAGTCACTCTCATTATATTGTGCTCACAGGAGCATGCACGTTGCTTCCTGCATATCGCCACATTTATCAAAGCGCCCGGCTTGATGACTTGAGCTCTTGTATACATTTTCTGAGGCGGTGCTTAGAAAACCACTGACACTATCTCAGTTTTGTAGTTTGTGTTGTTGTG